ATGTCCTAGCTCGTCCTTTGGCAGGTACAGTTTCTCTAAACATGCAGTCCGTATTTATTTGGTGGTTACCTGATATCGTGATCTACGGCTTTGAAATCATCTGCTTTCAGTTTGAGCATCCCAGTATGATAGTTTGTCAAGTTTATCAAGGCGTGCTCATTCACCGTCTTGATAAAGTTCTTGTCATTTAGTGCAGTTTTGGCTAACCGCTCAGTTCTCATTAAAATCTTTACACGGACTTTATAGTAGTTTGCACGGGTAGGTGCACTAGCCCTGTCTTCCACTATTTCAAGGTATTTCCAATTCCTTTCAATGGCACCGCCTTATTAGCGCATATCTCGGTTTTAGTGGCTGACTTTGCTGGATTCTCTTCTAGTCCTGCCACATCAAAAAACTTGTCAACTGTTTCGACCATAGATTTCATGATATTCTCGTCGGTCGCAGAGATCTTGAGATCATCCACAAATAACAAATGATTCGTTATGTGCATTCTTTGATCATTTGGAACCACCATCTTTGGGTACCTTTATATATATATATAAACTTTAATTTTCATTTTATTTCTTTACAACTTTTGGTTTCTTTTCTTACTTTTGTTTTGCTTTTATCTTATTAGTACAATCAAATGCAAAAATTGTGATGACAGTGATCTGAAATATCAGAAAGCAGTAGAGCAAAAAATTATGGTGGGCACTGCCATACAAACGGATCTATTATCTACTCGATGAAAACGTGTTTTTAAAGAATTTCTTGCTACACAGATGACTGGCAAGAAGCGCAAAGTTATTGGGATAGTATTCACAAAAACACTTGTCGTACTTTCAAAGAGACTGAAACGAAACAAAGTAAAGAAAGAGATATACGCATGAGATGAACAGAGAGGGACAAGATACAGTCACTGAAGAAAACCTCAAATCACAAGAATGCTGTATTGATTTGAGGTCAGAATATAAAAAGTCTGACGAGGAAAAGGAGGATGAGCAAAAATACCCGCATTTTAAATCATAATAGAATACAGATGAGGTTGTAGAAGGCTCCGTGAAGGATAAGAAAAAACAAACACTTATCCAGTGTACCAGGACCAGGTAGCAGCAGGATGATTACGAGAACAGCTGAGAAGCTAAAATGCTGAATGCGGCTTTTTACCGCTTCTAAAGAATACTGATGGGATATGGCCCTTCTGTCGTTCCCATATTGCGGAAGTTCCTTTACTTTCTTTCTGAGAACTGAAGAAGCAAGCGAATTCTGCGACCACAAGTATTACCAGTCACCATGATCGCAGAAGCGTGTCTTAGAGGAGTCAGCGGAGCGTATAAAGACGCTTGACATCTATTTCGAATATCTGGACTTAAAGAATAAGTATTTAGTATTGATGCAAGAGCTGACAAGAGATATGCCAGAAAAAGTAGACACAGAAAATAATCTCGGAGATTATTGTTCCTCTTATGCTTTGTGGGGGGTTGGGTGAATATGCGACTTGAATTCCAGAAGTTAGACTGATATAACTGATATCATATATTTGGTTTTTGATTAAAGCGTAGCAATTGCAGAAAATGCGTCAAAAAGAATTTTTTGATGAAACAGTCTATTATCGAATATGGATCAGTGTCTTGGTATTCTTTTGGATGCGATGTCGTGTGTATAGCGCCTGGATGGTTGCGGAATCGATTTGTGTATTGAATGGGATTGGAATTTATCCAGAAGAAAGTTGTCCGTCGGTTGGCAAAGGACCCAACAGAATTGATATTTTTAAGTGAGATAATTTGCCATACATTTGATGATAGGTAGTAATAAATAAACTGTTCAATTTTAAGACAGAATATTTGGATTTTTCAAGTTGGAGTATTTTTAATGGTTGTGTCATGCATTATGATGCTTGTCATTTCAGAGAACAGATGAATAGCAAAAATACAAGGTATAATTCGGAAGCAGTACGTAATTTGGATATTTGGTCAATCGAAATGAGTGCTTCATTTCGTAGTGGCATAAGGGCATGGAATCGTACGGTTCAATTTTGGCTTGCAAATTATGTATACAAACGTGTGCCACGATCTATAGGGTACTTTATGAATGATAAATTTTAAAATTTTCGGTAAATTTCAAAATAATTTCGAATATAAAAGACCAAATGGTACTATTATTCTTTTCAAAGAAGTAAATCTCTCATTTTTGATGATTTCATCTATTTCTTTAATTTAAAATCTAGTGATATACTTTAGATTAGTACTCACGATGTCAGTTAGTGCTTATTGGCATGGCATACATCCAGGATATTATTTATCTTTTCTCACGGTCCCACTTTGCATGTTAGCTGAAGATCACCTTCTATCATTGGTCCCAAGGGATCAAAATGGCAATTTACCGTTATCATGTACCGTTTTGTAAGCCATTTAACATTATTTTTGGAAAGCTTATCTCGTCAAATTATTATTTATCAACTGCGTATGTTGGCTGTAAATCGGTGTGGGGAGCTGGGGTCTGTGGATCGAGGTATATAAATTTGAGAATGTGTGAGGGTATGTAATTGCACAGACGCTGTTATTGAGAGAATGGGTGAGTGATCCACTGATAGATTTGTATTCAAAGATGCGTTGTAAAATTTTGAATGTCTTGCTCCGAATAACACAGTTCGTGTCTGAGTGATGATCATAAAAAAACGAAAACTATGCAGTGTCAAATTTATGTATTTTGCATCTCTTCTTTTGATATATAAAATATCTTTGTAAATGTAGCAAATTACTTAATTTTGCGGTTCATTTCCTATCATATCATCCTAATCAGTTAAAGTCTTTTATAAAGGGGGCGAAACAAGTCATCATATTTTTTATTTTTTTCATTATTTTTTTATTTTTTCTGATTTTTTTGGATTCTCGCTCAGTTATTTGAGTATGTCGTATGAAGTAACTTTGATCAATGAATGAATAACTGCAAAAAATAAAACTCTCAATTTAGTAGTTGTAAAGAATGAAATATACAAATGTCATATTATTTTTGGATTTATTTGATCACCACTACAGTTGGTATATCATACGACAGCTTGGTTTTACGCTAATGGCATCTGGTTTCTTATTGTTAACGTGGCGTGATACTATTCGCTATTGGAATTCAGTGTATTTTCATGTTCACTGGATAATGATAACAGTCATTGTTTTCTCGTGGTTCTACAAATCAGTAATGATTTCTACAGGTTAGGCTGATTGTCAGAATATCGTTAAATCTTCTTTTTTTATGACAAGAAGGAAACATTGCATACTTTGTCTTTTCCATTATAGTAATGTTTCACTAGCATTTCAAAAGCAATTGTATCCCAGGACCGAAGAATATGGAGGAGAAACCGTACAGCAGAGAGGTTACGAAGCTTGATTAATGGAGTGGCTGATCTGAATATACATTTAAAATGGCTACAATAGAATTTTGTATGAAGCAAAAAAAAGCCCATGAAAATTTGATTATGCTTTGGTAATAATCATTAGTAGGGGGACATACTAGGAAAAGTGCCCCTATATTGTTATCAAGAAGTTTATGTAATTTTCGAGGTATTTTTTAATGGCATATTAGCACAATCAAATAAGCAGCAAAAATAGACCATTTTTGATGACTGTTTAGTAAATTAGCTGCAGAAATAGTCTTTATATTGCTCCTAATACTTTTTATTAATGTACCGTAAAGATTTGGCCTTTTCTTAATTATATTAATGATTTTTGATCTAATGAAGGAAGATGCAGCTGGCCTTTATTTGTAAGTTGGTTTGATGGTAATTAATTTGAGAAGAAGTGATCAAAAATTGTGGGAGATTGGATAATGTTGTACAGTTGACAAAACTTATTGTTGGTACTCGAAATATGATTGTTTTGAAGGAATTCGACCATAATTCATTTTATGTTCTCGATTCGGTTTTAGCTTATTCAAACGTTAGGAGTATGTTATATTTTGTATTTCTCCGTTTTCAGCAGTGGTTCTTGGTTTTCTTTTAGTATCCTCAAAATTATTTAGCTGTTTTCTTTGTTTTTGATGTTTGTTTTTGAATGTGATACCATCTATTCTAATTAATTACAGAGGATTGAATCTGCAAAAACTACTTCGTGTATTTTTGAAGTATTTGTGTGTTTGTTCATGTGTAACGTAAATAAATGGTAATTAATCCCTGTTTCATTGGTGAATTGTTCTTTGTAATCAATTCTGATTACTGGTACTGTGTTGTTTTCGATATCCTAAAGTTTGTTTAACATTTGGGATTTAATAGTCCTGGAAATATCAATACTTTTCAGTGTTCACATCTCATAGAAATGTAGAGAAAGTTTTTACACTAAAGTGAGGTATGTGTTGTCTCTTAGGTAGTTGTGCATAAGACGTTGTTCTGTTGCGTTTGTTCTAGAAACTAAAAAGTTTCCAATGGTATGACAACGCTGTTCTCAGATACAGCAGGAAATTGGGACGAAAAGCTTGTTGATTACTGATTTGAACAGACCATTTGACAAAATGAACAGACAGTCCAAAGTATTCAAATCAAAAAAAGACAAGAAAGCAAGAGATAAAGCAGGACGTTCTGTTAATGCAGGTGTCACTTTTAATTTCATTCTATGAAGGCAGATCTTGAAGGGAATGTGTTGGTTGAAGGGTTGGAAAGTGTTATCGGAGGATAAAGTATTTTGTTAATTTTTTGGAGATTTGGTAAATCGGAGTTGGTTGCAGGAGTAAAAGCTCAAGTTATGAAAATTGTTTCAAGTACGATGGTTTGTACATTTTAAATAGATATCGAAAGTTTCAGGGCATTTCATGTTAACGAAATGCAAGTGCTTTGATTATAAAATATTTCTAGGTAGGAGAGTGCTGAATAATCCAGTGATGCAAAAAGTAATGGAAGCTGCTAGCAAATCTAAAAAAATGCTCGGAGCGCATGTTAGTGTTGCAGGTATTTTTTCATTGTTTATTCAGGTTAAGTTTTTGAGAATCAACTAACTGATAGAAGTAGAAACTACTTTTCCATCTATTCGATGAAACAGCAACAGTACTTTATTTGCTGCTGACATGCATCATATTTGATCATAGAAACAGTATTGTAAAATAGTTTATTTTCAGTAAAGTGAGCTGATTGCGGTAGTTTAGATATGCGTTTAAGTAGTGCGCTTGAAAAGTTTAGTAACTTTGTGTCGTTATATATCCTGTCGCTCTAGCATGTTAATGAGGATTTTTTAATATATGAATTCAAAATGAACATGTATTAATTTTAAACATTTTTGAGGTGGCTTAGAACTGAGTTTTTATAATGCTTTATCTATGGGGTGTCGGTCATTTGCATTTTTTGTTCGTAACCATCGTTCGTGGAACAGCCCACCTATGAAGGATGAAGTTGTGCAAGCATTTCGCGAAACCGCGCTGGTATTCATATTTATGATTCACTATAGCAAAGGACATAAAACCACTTTCAGTTTGTTTATCACAGTTGTTAGTTTGATGGAGGAAAGACAAAATGTTTTGCACCCATTAATTCATGTTAATTATTAAAAATTTTTTTTCAGTTTTACTCTGGGATAGTTCATCAACAGATATTTCTGCTAAAAATGTATCAAATTGTTTTTAATGCCACTCTTTCAAAGATTTTTTGCAGAAATTAAGATTTCCAATGGATCAAATTGTTGTTCATGCAACATATTTGATCAATGCTGGCAGCTTTGATGTAGAAATCTTAAATCGAACTCGAGTAGCAATGTTGGATGAATGCAAACGATGTGAAAAGCTCGGCATCATATATTATAATTTTCATCCTGGTCAGAATATCAAAGTGTATTCCGAAATAAGCAATTATTTCGAAAAAATGAATTTATTTCAACAGTAAGAGGATGGATGAGTCATATCATTAATCGTTATTGAGTAAAAATAACTATTTGGTGAAAAAAAAATTCTGATCTTAAAAATAGCAATTTTAATGCTTTGAAGTACCAAAAGCTATAAATTCTTGAGTCGTTTAAAGTTCCTCATACCGATAGATTTTACATGGTACAAAAATAAATTCCATGTTTAAATTCATAATTTTTTCACTAATTGTTATTGTCAAGACACATTTCAATTTCCTACTTTTGAGTTGTTTGATAGTTCGAGCGTTGAAATTAATCATCTCTTTGCTTTGATGAAGCATTTGATTTAAGAAAATCTGTTCTTTCACCGTATTTTAAAAAGTTGCACTTCTTATCAATACCTGTGGAAAAGAATTTGCTGATAACTTATCATTTTTAGGATCCACAGCAGGAAAATGTACTCGAAGTGAATGTATTAGAACAATCGCGGATAGCTTGAATTATGTGATCGATCAGACAGAATATATTACATTATGTTTGCTTGTGCAAATTCTTATTAGTTTATGATATTTTAGTGTAGCTGAAAATACATGACAACTGATAGCTATTGTAAGATACCTTTTAAAAATTTCTTATTTTTGACTCTGTAAAAAAATATTTCTACAGTAATTGAAACCATGGCTGGGCAAGGAAACACTATTGGTGGGAAGTTCGAAGAAATAAAGCAAATTATTGAATTGGTGGATAATAAGAAGCGGATTGGAGTATGCATTGATACTTGTCATATTTTTGCTGCTGGTTGGTTTCAAACTATTTCTTGACTTCAGCTTTTTTGATACGGTTTTTGCAATACAATTTTTCTTTCTTACAGCAATTATAATAGACTATAGATGTAGGCATTAATTCAGTGAAACGTTTAGTCATGGTGAAAACATGAAAAGAAAATGGCAGCGCGGAACATCATTACGTTGTATAATTTTTGTTTGAGCATTTATTTTTCTAAAACCGGCATATCATGTTTCATAATATGCCGGTTTCAGAACAATAAATATATCGGTAAACTGAAGAGGACTACACTGAATTTATTTTCTCTGATATTGGTTAGAGAAGGGAATAGTACCGAGGATTTGGAAGTTTTGTTGTGGAGGCATTAGTAATTCTAAGTGTCAGTTTTTAAGGAAGAAGAATAAATATATGTCAAATATTAGTGAGAACAGCATCTCTTGAACAATTTTAAGCAATCATAGTTCGAAAGATTAAAATGTAGTTTGCGTAATCTAGACGTTATATATCTGATCTGACTATGTAAGAGGCTTAGTCGAGATGTTATTTCCTTTTTCCTTTTCAATTAGGAAGAAGTATCAAATTGGAGATGCTCTGAGAAATATTGAGTATGCCAAATAATCGCTGATAGGGTCGCAAATCAATGCACGTGATAGAAATGATGAAACTTCAAATGATGCCATGTTAACAAAGACAGATTTGGCAACATCGTTTATAATATTCATATCACTTTTTCGAGTTAGGTTACGATATACGATCAGAAGAACGGTATAACGAAACCATTAGCAAATTTGATAATGTCGTTGGACTGCAATATCTTCGGGCGTTTCATATAAATGATTCAGTAGGTAAACTTGTTTTTAATGATGCTTTTGAGGACCTTTTTTTTATACAGTCGTTATTCATCTTTTTGAACAATATGGCTATTTACGTATTTTCTAAAAATATGTAGCGTCTGTCGCATTTCGTAGTTTTCTTTTTTATAATATATAGCTCCTTCTATCTTCATCTTATAGTTTGTTTAAGGTGACCTTGGTTCGAAATTGGATCGTCACGCGAATATTGGTAAAGGCAAGTTGAACCTGATAGCTTTTCGTCATCTTATGGCTGATTCACGATTTGATGGGTTGCCTATGATCTTAGAGACACCAGAAGGAGATTATGCAAGCGAGATGATACGATTATATCGCTCATTAGATAGCAAACCAGGGAACATTCAGAAAGATGTGAAATCATTTTTTTCAGTACTTTAAAGGTTCTTTATTCGCTGTTAAGTGATTGCTTAATTGACTTTATATCAATCGATAACTCGTGCTGAAAGTTTCTATTGTTCCTTAGTTAGATAAGGAAAAATATCTAAGACTTGACTCAACTGAATAGAACACAAATGATGTACTTATACTTATGTCTACCATTTAATTTGAATGATGTCAAGCTGGCTGGGAATGCTGTGACCAAAATCACAAGTAAGGAAAATTAAAAAAATGAGAGAAACTGTGTTTATAATTGAAGTATAAACATTTCTGAAAATAAATCTGGTCCGTTGCATGGCAAGCAAAAAACTTGGCAGAAGAGCTGCTTTATTCTATTAACAGGTAATCTTTCAAGTCCTCCGTCGATTACTTTAACTTAGCAGCAGTACAAGACCATCAAGACAGTCAAACAACTTTATTTTTGCATAGAAGGGCTTATGCTTCTACTTAAGCATTTGCTTTAACTGAAAGTAATCAAGATCTCCATCATGTTGAAAAGTTATTAGCGTGTCTTTCGTTATTATCTCCATTTGATTTCATCGTTAGGGAACGCTCTTTATAATTTTCAACGGGGCAGCTACAGTGCTCGTATTACTGGGCAAATGCTTTCATACAATACTCTGTTAAGCATTATTTCCTTCATCTTATATAATTCTCCAAGTAAACGTGAAATAACCAGTCAAGTAACTTCGACTTGAATTTTTATATTCACGCATCCACCCATCCCTACTCCACAATGACTGCACATTGTTGCCTGTCAACATGTGACTGACGACTTCAAACAAGACACATTTAACTGCTTACAATTTTTGCACACAATTGTCTAGTGCGCAAGCATAATGGAGAATTTCTAACATCCACTTCCTTGCTCCTACTTTTATTGCATAAGCTCTCTGCTTACATCTTCATCTCATCTAGAACTGCCACGTCATGCTTGGTAATTTTCGCACGTTTTTAAGAATTATCGGTAAACTAATGAGGACCGCATTAAATTTATTCCTTCACTTGAAATAGTTGTGGTTGATCATCACTGACATTAGTGGGAAAAGGGAATGATAAGGTGTTCGGAAGCATTGTTCGTGGTGGAATCATATATTCTAGATATCAGTTTTTAAAACTAAGGGGTAAACATGTCTTAAGTATTTAGTGAAGACAACATTCCTTGGTCAGTTTTTAGAAATAAAGTAGCAGTCATAGTTCGACCAGTAAGCTTAAAATGTAATTTGCGTAATCAAGATGTAATATATCTGATTTGACTGGGTAGCACGCTTAGTCGGTATGTTATTTCTTTTTTCCCCTTCAATTAGGATGAGTAGTATCAAATTGGACATGCAATCGTGAACAATCAATGGAAACCTATAGTATTCAAACGAGAACTGATTTAAGATGCCAGGCATTAGATTTCTACTGCTAATTATCATAACAGAATATTGCATTAAATTTTGCAAAATCTCGAGAAATCTACTGGTATTTTGCAAGGATGGAAATTCGTGAACGTTTAGTTATAATGTCATAATAACTTAATTGTACATTTATAGCTCTGTGAGGTATTAAGTATGCCAAATAATCGCCGACAAGGTCGCAAATCGATGCGTGAACGAAATGACGGAACTTCGAATAATGCAACGTTAACCAAAACAAATTTAGCAATGGATCCTTCTGCAAGTCCATGTCCCCTGCTTTTTAACGGACCATCATTACCTGGTATGAGAATACTTCATGCGAATATAATGAAAGATGTTTGTGTGAGTAAGAATAGTTCACGTTGGCCTATAAAATCTAGACTCCATATATATTATGTTTTATATTAATCATAAGTAGAAAGATAAATCAGATGAAAGTAATTTCTACCGTTGCGATTCGTAGAATAAATGTCTCCTCTGAATCTTGCTTATGTTGCTAACTGGAGCACATTCATTTAAGTCTTTACATTATGGTGAACTCTGCTGAAATTTATGATAATGCATTACTTTAGTTACGATGTTTTCGTAGCAGTGAGCGATTAAAAGTAAGATTTATGCAAAATTACTAGGCAACTTATGTCTAGTGCATTTTATATTTTGCAGGTGGTGATATAAAACGCACTCCTTCAGAAAATACGACTTGCGAACCTTCAACATCTAATGATTCTGAAGTTCATCAGACTATTGATGATGCGCCTGATAACGGTAGGCAGTTAGTGGAATTGAAGAATTTATATTTTAGAGATAGAGCCATTTTCTTCTCAATACTCCAAGCAGGTCAATTTCTATCCCTTTTCTAAACATTCTTTTGCTTTTGAATTTCAGGTTTACAAGTCATGTTGGCATTACCGGCACCTCCAAATGATGCATCCGCATCATTAGCTAATCTTGATGAAAATAATCATCGTTATGTGGGTTTAGTCAATCAGGCTATGACTTGTTATTTAAATTCATTGATACAAACATTGTACATGACACCAGAATTTCGAAATGCTATCTATGGGTAAGTGTTAAATTCGTTATTCGGGAAAACGGAATTAAAAGGTAGATGATAGTAAGCACAAAAATTTTGTCTTCTCTTCTTTGCAGAGAAAAGTTCATTAAGTAGTCACTACTATCAGTATCTTGTTTTTAGGTGGAAATTCAGTGGTCCTGAAGCTGCAGAAGCTAAGAGTATACCTTGTCAACTGCAGAAGTTATTTTTGCTCTTGCAAACAAGTGATCATGAGTCGTTAGAAACTATTGATTTAACTGCATCCTTTGGTTGGAGCAATTCAGAGGGTAGCTTCTTATTTTTAATCTTATTGTATGTAATAATTGGGAGTGCTTCTGTTCACTTGAAATTAATCTTGTTCCTTTTGTCATCTAGTTCCATATTTTACTTATTAAGCTCAACTGATTTATCGAATTATTTGAATAATAGTACAACTAGTTTTAAATATCAGTAAAGATTTATCTTCCTGTTTAATACAATTTTTTTCAGCTTATGAACAGCATGACATTCAAGAATTATGTAGAATTATGTTCGATGCACTAAAACAAAAATGGAGCAGAGCAGATGCAAGTTTCCAAGATTTATATAGGTAAGAAATTAATCTCATAAGAATAATATTCTATATTAGTCATTTTCATAGAATAAAAATCATAGAAATTCAAGGGGCAGTATGGAGGACTTTGTCAAATGCCTTTTTTGCCAAAAGGAAAGTGTTAAACAAGATGAATTTCTTGATTTGCCACTAGCAGTGAAACAGTTTGGCGCTAGCAACGCTTTCGGAAGTGTGGTATGTTTTCTATTCACTTGTTCTCGTATTTTCCAATTTTATTTAAGTAATTTTATGTATTTATAGTTTTCACAAATTATTTCATTTTTTCTTGTCTGCAGGAAGAAGCGCTTCATGCGTTTGTAAAACCGGAGGTATTGGAAGGAAGCAACCAATATTATTGTGAAGGCTGTAGAAAGAAACAAAATGCGTTAAAGGTTTAAATCTGTCCAGCTTAATGTGCTGTAGATCAGAGCATATTTAAGTTCACTTCAAATTTATTGCAGATCTTGTTAAACATTTTTTAAATTTGATTTAATTGATGTCGAATAGTACTAATGTATATGAAGCAAAATGAAAATGTAAAGTCGCTGATGAAGTGTTTTAATGCAAAATTTTAAAATGGTATGTGGAAATATTTTTTTCGGCAATCCGACTGTTGTTGAAAATTGGTGCTATTACTGAGTTCTAGATAAATAAAGTCGTAAAAGCTATTTGCGTGATATTTCTTATATCATACCATCATAATCATTGTATCTCTTCCTGACTCATATTGCATTCACATTTGTTTGAAATTGGTTTTCTATGCTTGCTTCCGTTCGATTGTTGATTGTTGATATATTTCAGGGTTTGAGAGTGACAAAATTCCCTTATTTGCTTTCAATACAGTTAAAGCGCTTTGATTTTGATTGCAACACACTTCATCGGATCAAATTAAACGATAAGTTCGTTTATTTTAATTGTAGGACTGAGTGCCATTACAGTAAGGATTATTTATGAGAATTCATAGTATCCTGATCGAAGGACTTGCTGATATGACTATATTACTTCAGAATGACGTTTCCATCTTTACTCAATTTAAATGAATTTGTTTACGATGCAACGAAGAGCGAACCACCAAAGAAAATGAGTTGGGCTTCAGCAGTTTCAACTCCAAGGTATTTTTCAAAATTATGTTTCATGTTATCAATTCTTATTCTTGGCAATTATGATGTATTTTATTAGTGAGATGAAATTTTTTTGTGATTGCTGTTTCAGGAAAAAAGAAGAACAGAAGTCACCAGTATCGACTGTGTCTGATTACGGTAGCAAGTTTTGCAATCAAAGAAATTGGAGTCGATAACATAATATTATTTTATTATATTGTATTGTATCTTACATCATGTTATACCGTATTATATTACATTATACGGTTATTGCGTAATATAATACAATGTAAGATAATGGGACACAATTATATTAATTTCAGATCAACTTGGAGTTTTTTATCTTAAAAAAATGAATTTGTTTAGTATCTCGTGCTGAACAAAGCAACGGACATTTGGATGAAAATGAAGTTGATGTGTTGCTCAAAAAGGATGGCCCATTTCTCTATGAATTGTTTTCAGTTATGGTTCACCAAGGAAGTGCCTCAGGAGGCCATTATTTTGCATACATTAAGTCAGTTATAGAATTTGCGGAAGTATTGTGTGTAGACTTTGTGACAAAGCAAAGTAACTATTATCTTAAGGTATTTGATGGGTTCGGATGTATACATTGCAAAGTGGTATTACTCACTTTAACTATAAAATTTGACGTATTTTAGAGATTGTGGTATTTATTCACTAGGTGAATAATTTCGTAGCTCATTTATTATTCAGAAGCACGAAAATTTCTTTTTGCAGAAATATGGATCAAGACAAGTGGTTTTGCTTCAATGACAGTAACGTCACTTCTGCTTCTATCGAAGATGTCCATCGCACATTTGGAGGAGTATCTAGTGGTTGGGCGTCAGGGAATACAAATGCTTATATGTTGATGTATAGACAGGTCTTTTTACAATTATTTTGAAGATGATTGCAATGAATTATAATAATTTCAAGCTTTTGAGTTTAAGTAATTTACAGATTGACCGCAAGCGAAATGCAAGATTTGTGAAAACTACAGAGCTTGCAGATCATTTAGTAAAGTGCTTACAACGATTCAAGGAACAAGAAGAAGAAAAACAGAAGGAAAAGGAATATCAAGAATCGCTTGTTTCGGTAAAATCTGGCAGTTAATAGGCTGTAAATATTAGCTGTGTTTCGAAATTCCCATGTTTTAAAATTTTAAACTCAGTGGCCAGGTGGTTTGTAAACTCAGTGAATATTAATCATTTCATTTTTAAGCATAACATTTTTTCAAATTTCAGATCAATGTTGCGTTCAATGGTACTCATATATCATCAGATGTTTCAGTTTTAACGCAAGCAATGAAATTCCCTTACACAACACAGTTTTGCAAGATTTATGATTCAGTATTTAAATCATTTTGTGAAAAGACTTCGATTTCACTATCTAACGTTCGCTTGTTGTTGTGTAAAGATTTTACGTATTCCATTACACGTTCATTGAAGGCAGGTGAAATGGAGAAGGTAAGCTAATAATTGTAATCTAGGTGATTTACAATATGAAGAAGCATTATGATTTTTTTATCGAAATTATCTTGAGAAAGTTACTGTTTTAGACTTTGGAAGAAATATATCCGGAGTGTGCCGTTAAAAGCGTGTATCGTCCCGTTTTATATTTTCTGCTCGATATGAAGCCATCCAGTATGGAGCATTTTTATTTTGTATATGATGAAGCAACAGTTGGGACGGTTAAAGTAATTGCTCTTGATATTGAAAATGGGACTTTCCTACCACCATTTCAAATGCAGTATCATGAGGACGAGTTAATCAAAGCGATTAAACGGAAAGTAGCTCAGGTATTCGATAGATTTCTTTCGAACTAAAGCTTGCAAGATGTTGCGCATAGTTCAGTTTGAATACTATACTGTGACCACTGATACTATCAATTTTTCTTTCATTAAACAAGTGTTATTCATTTGCTACGGATGATTTTTTCAGATTTTCAGTGTTGAGGATAAGACCCATAATCTACGTCTTGTTGTTGATAAAGGGATTGTTGCTTCACCCACTATGGTGTTGCTTAATGATGATAATATGACATGTTTGCAAGCTCTGCTCAACGTTACAAACGCTAGAGTAAGCGTAAAAATTGAGAAATAATTGAAAGTAGATAATCGTACGATTACTGCTTTTTATTTTACAATTTTCAGTTGTATGCTGACGTTGGTGGAAGTGGTCCTTCAACAGATCAAGATCGAAAAGTTGATTTCCACAGGTCGAAAATGTTCTCATTATTGGAGCGAAAAAATCACTCTAAAATATTGACAATAAATTTTCCTACTCTAGGTATATCATAAATTTATGTTATTCTCCTATATTATATATATAATAAAATATTTTTTATGCCATACATATATGTTCTATTTCAGAAAGTGAGGAAAGGGACAAAATTTTTTGTATTTTTCCATCAAAATGTGTTGAAATAATGTATTTAGAAGAATATATGCAAGCCGGAATTGCTCCACCAATTTCTCAGAGCTCTAGCCGTTCAGCAACTCCTGCTAGAACTATTGTTGATGCGGATACAGTTACATCTTCAGAATTACCAACAAGTATTGATACACGCAGTGTGGCTTTTAGGGTATCAGAAATATTAGGAGCAAAACAGACAACTTCTTCAATGGCTGGCAGTCATTTGTCATCAACAGTTTCTGATCAGGATAATAGTACACAGTGCTTGGTGAGTGTTAACCAAGTGTATCCAATGAAAAAACTTCAATTTTGTCTATGCAATCTTTTTTACAGAGTAGTTATATTTACCTCACACAATTTGATTGTTGGTCTAATTTAAATCTCAAAAAATTATTTGGCTTTTATAAACTTGTGTCCATGACTCTGTAATTAAATAAAAGAATTGAGGACGATGATGGGGACGTGGATTCTGTAAATACAACTTGTACGCCACTAGTATCACCGGTTGTATCTGATAGCGATGACGTAACCGACATTACTTCGATTGGTTTTGCTGTTGATCGAATAAGTCGTTATGAAGCAAATTTTTTCTCATCTTGATATTTGTGAAAAATTTTAATTTTAATCTTTTTTTCTTTTGTTTTTCAAAAAATAAAATAATTTGTCATTACTAGATGCGATCTGTATTCTATGATTTAAATAATTTCTGATTCTATCCCAGCGAACATTGGACGCGATTACGGCTGTCTCTGAGCAAGAACGGTTGTTTAAAATGAAAAATGTGTTAGAAGATGGTGCAAACACCGCAAACTTTTCGGGGAACACATTTATCGAAGGTACACAAACGTACATCTCGGGGATGATTCAGAATGGCTTTGACGCCATCATTCGTTCAGGATCGCGACGTAAATCAGCCAGTTGTGAGCTTTATTTGTTGCAAGTATTTGAGTGGGTTAGTGAAAATGGAACTAGTATGTATTTATTTTTCCATCTATAAGTGTCGAAGGTATGATTTCTTGTTTTCAAATTTAGATGTAGAAGTAGATGTCGATGATCGACAGCTGGTGATTAATATGAAGCACTGGTTAGCAGTAGTACTCGGACTTGATACTAATGAATTTGTTGTTTTAAAACATTACGGTGCTGATGATGTTGATGGATATGAAAGTGTAACAAATGAGTCCGAAACTATCCATGAAGCTTATTACGCTGTTCAAAGAGTATGGTGTAATTTTTCACTATCAAAGACATTAAAGTTGAATTTTTCGTTGCTTAGATGTTTTACAAAAGTTTAAATGAAATGGGGTCTTTTTGTTCTTTAAGAATGGCTTAGTCATTAAGGGCAGCAGTGTGTGAGATTAAATATGATTGATTAATTGATTTTTTTGTTAAAGTTTATTCATATTAAGTTTTTGTATAGGTGCAGATTGCTTTAGTTACTAATAAATTTTAGTTGCAAAACCAAAATCTAAATTTTCCTGCTCTTGCTTTATGAAAGACTGTGACTATTTTATTGTAGTTGTCAATCAAATTGCGTTCTCCGCTGAAGGAAAATGAAAAATTGTTGCGTATTATCCGGTTTGATCGGGAAAATACTGATGTAAGTACTTTTATTGTAAAAAAGTGTCATCATTTATGAGTATCATTGTGAAAATAGAACTTTTTGTGAGGTTGAGAAACTTTTTTTAGTTACTCTGTTTTAGCAGGATAAATGGCCTACATTATTCCGTATACCGGTTACTGTTGATATGTCAGTACGTACATTGCTGATGCGCTGTCAAGAGCAGCTGAAAAAAATATATGCAGTAGAGTGTGACTTGAATCAGTAAGTTGCGTTGTTTGAAAATAGTAAATGGAGTGACTTTTATTTAATCCATTGTCTTTGCTCTTCTAACATAATTGGAAATTGGTTGATTTTGAAAATTTCTATTAGAACTTTGATATGGTTCATTCACTTTTTTGATTCTCTCTGCATACCACATTGTGTGTGTGTTTTTTTAATTCTTTAAGAGTTAAATATTTCAGTTTTAAAAATTTCATGGTTGTTTTACCTCCATCCTTCTAAGAATTAATTAGAAAAATTAAAGATTGCGGTTACGAGATATGGATTTGGGTGATGGAGCACCGGTAATGTTTTATAGTGACCAGCTTGGTCAACGAAGTCATGATTGGAACAGGAATTTATATTTACAAATTTTAACAGGTTTTATGTTATTCATTCTTCGACAAATTCTCTCTTTACTCAGTATTCTGAAGTATTCTAAAGTCTATAATGGCGTCTTGCGTCTTGTTTCATTGAAATATTTTATTGGTTGTGATGAAGTCATCTTTTTCAGATGAGGAAGTTGCTCGGTACAAAGTGCATGCCTCTCCTGCTTATCCGGTTATGGTGAGGCGCTGGAAGCCGTCATTATTAGAAGTCTCACCTTTAGTGGAATTAATCGTCCCGGTAGCTAGATTGAACCAATTTGTAGCGCTTAAAGAACAAATTTCTCTTCACTATCGTGTTCCTATGGAACAGATTTTGCTTTCCGAAGTAATACATTTTTACCTACCTTTCAGTTAGTCATACCCAACCTTTTTTCTGCTAAAATCGCAAGAATTTCCGTTTAAGTTGTTTGTTAGACTTATAGAAAACTTTGGTCATTGGTTCTGCAAACCGTCCAATTGAATTCAGGAAAAATATGTTGTTTACTTTATTACTTATGCCTAATTATGAAATCTTGTGGGCTTACCCAACAACGTCATGGTGTAAGTGGCCATACACAAAGGATAGAGTCGATTTATATGAAAATGTGCGTTTTACGAATGAAAATAAACCATGTGAAGAAGCTTTGAACGGAAAGCTTGTTTATTTCAAGTGAGTTTTCCCTAGAATTTTGTCCTTGGAATATCATGCATGAATGTCAAGAAAATACTGATTTTTTTCTGATTATCGTAAGATAACTCGCACAAAAGTCAATTTTTTATATTCCATGAAATAGATGAGGCGTCTGAATGTTCTGCAGGAAAGATACATGATGTTTTCGGCATTATTTGCAGGTTATTTCCATACGTACATGTGTCGCTTGCTTTTTTTTTTCTAGATTAGCCAATGAACAAGAACGACAATTAACAGAAGAAGAGAAGCGTACAATTAGGTACAAGGATCATGCTGTAAAATCAGGAAATACTGCAGTTACACGAAGGAAAGAAAGGCCATTAAGAATACAGCTGTCAACTAGCATCACAGAAGATGACTAAGACACTGATTTGTTCTTTTGTTCTAGTTGTTCGTTTTAATTGATTTGTTACCAAGCAGTTATGCTTAAATTAACTGGTATTTTATGTTTAATAGTTGTAAACTTGCATTTCACGTACTTTTGAAGTTATTATTCATTTTATGCTATTTTAAATTTCATAAATTTCGGTCTATAATAAGATCAAAGAAAACGAAAACTGTTGTTTAGTCTAAGATCCCTTGGTCGTATCGGTGCCTCTTTATCTCATATTGTTGTGCATTATTGTTTCTATAAAAATTTAACTTATAAAATCTAAGCCTATTTGACGTGAATGACTTTTCACATAAATTGTTTTTTGAAATGATGTACGAGAAAAATCTTATGTTTTGCACAGTAGTTTGACATCGCATATTAGACATGTAGCTTAACTATTAGTTTTGCGACACTAATTTTCTTATTTATTCTTCTGTATTGTCGGGAGAACTTTTAGTTTTAACCTTGCCAGATCCGTGGTACTTCACGAGTTTTTACGGAATATTGTATGTCTGTCTCACAATTTTTTTTGTAGTGGCCAACATAGAAGCAAAAACAAGCATTCTCTAAATCATGAATCTACATAAATCCTCACATATATAATGCAAGGGTAGTCTTTTTTTGGTGATTTTCGCGCGTCTAAGTGGAGATCTAGCTAAATCAGTTTATCTTTATGGTGCATGTCTCTGGGATCGCTTTTATTTGCTCTCACATTTTTGTCTATTTCATAAGGATTCCTGATAAGGTACACAGATTTGTTGAATCTAGTAACTGAGTTCTGTTTATTTTGTCTGGCGTGATTCCGTTGCCATCGCGTTTCATAAGGCTGATCTGTCTGACTAATTTAATTGCTGTGAATGGTATATGTGAGTAAAATGTATTTCAGTTGTACTGTTAAAATTTCAGTTATAAGTGTTTTGAAATGCTTGGCGCTTGGTGTTTGGAAGCTGTTTTGAAGGATATCTTGTTTGAATCAGATGTGTGAAAAACTGGTTTTTGGGACTTTTTGGTGGCATATTTCAGTCATTCTATTATTTCATTAGCACATTTATAGACTCTTAGACTGATCACTACAGTTCATTGGTATTCAGTGATATAGTGCTAGTGACTAATGGCTAATGGGGTTTTATGAGGTGCACTTTAATAAGTACATATGGAACGTTGGGAGGTGTGTGATGTGTAAGGTGATCACTATCTTTTATTTTTTTTACAACTAAAATTTTATCAGTTGATATCTTGTTTCATTGGGTGAACATAGCTTACTACAGTTGGAATAATGATCTAACATGATGATTATTCATGGAGAGCTGATTTAGCAAAGTGACCATTATCAAATAGCGAACGGTTTGAATTGACTACGATGAATCTTGCTTGTATTTGTGGGCATATCTTGTAGGTCGAGTTACTTCCGTCCATAGAAACCTCCGAATCCACAGCAACCAACACCAAAATTACCCATCCCTACACCATATGGACTAAAGCCACCAAGTGGACTATAACCTCCATAACCAAACCCATAGCCATATCCTAAATTAGAAAGATGATTTGGTACTTAAGAAAATCAAGTTCATATAAAGCTGGAGAAATAAATGTAGAATCTTTTCAGAAGTTCATGGTGATTTGCTTATTTATACATTTTGTCTAGCATTAAACATAAGAATATATTGTAGAATATCGCATTGAAATTGGCAAGGCATCTTAAATTTGGTAATAATTATTTAATCATTGACTTATATCATACCACCACATCCAATCATACTAAATCCTGCACTGCATCCACCGAAAAACTGTGCATTGATACCAGATGAGAAGAGAATCATAGAGAGTATTAGCAGTACTGTTTGCATGGTAACGAATTCGAATTGAAGTTTTTCTGAAGTAAATAATTTAAATAGGTTAAAAGAATGGAATTACACAGCGCATTAATAGCTTCAGTATCGTATAAAGATTTGATCTGTGCATCTACGACCATCTGCATCTGTTATATACAGGGATGAATCTGTTGTGTGAGATTTTATTACTAGTTTCTTTCCATTGTGTGACAGTACTGAAGTGTACATTTTCATTTTTATTCACATAAAAGTATGGAAATGTTATGAATTGTAAGGCTGAGATATGGTGAAGTGAGCTGATTTCCTTTAACCTATACATTTCTTTTGTACTAATGATAATGTATTCTTTCACAACTGGGAGGTACAAGTACCACTGCTACTGATTTCAATGGTAACGCAAACTTTATTGTGAATTCGCGTCTCAGCGAGTGGACTCTTGGGAAGCTTTTTCATAAAATTAGATGATAGTACCAGTATTTTGCATACTCTTATTTGATCTAAAAAATTAAGAAATAGTCACGATAGTTCCATTATCGTTTTCTGCTCTTATTAG